GGCTCCCACCGTTGCGTGTGCCCCCCAGATCTGTGCATGGGGCAAGGTCGGGCTGCCGCTGTGCCCTCGGGCCTAGGGGCTGCAGCTGGCCTCGTCCCAGTGGGGGTGGGGCTGGGCCAGGCTGCACTCAGCAGGGGGGAGGGGGAGCTACAGCCACCCCAAAATTCACCATAGCCCATCCCATAGCCCCCATTCCCAACACTGCCCACCCAACCTGGCCTGAGCACAGCCCTGGCCCAGCCCGCAGTAGGCAGCCTGTCCTTACCTGCGCACAGATCTGGGGGCCACATGCCCCCCATGCCTCCTCCAGGGGCACTTACAGTGGTGGTAACAGCCCCCAGATGAGCTGCGGCTCTGTCCCATGTCGTGCCCCAGCTGTTAAGCACCTGCCCCTGCCTCAGCCCCACTCCCTCCCTCACCATGAGTGCTTCAATCTGCCCCCACACAAGCTGCTTTCCCTCCCCCACGTTCCTTCCCCATATCAGACGTACTGGATGGACGCTGCTCTCTAACCTGCTGGGCTGCACTCCTGGCCATATGCATGTTTGCAGCTGTGCCCCTGCATGCAGCATTTATCAGCAAGATTATTAGTCACATCAGCCAAAAAAAGATGATTGCCGATAATGTCAATTTTCCTTTTATCGGTGCCGATATAATATGGACTGATGTATTGGTGCACTCTACTGAAGAGTTTACTCTGCCCTTGCAGTCAGGACTCAGCCACGATTCTGGGAAAACCTTTTCATTCCTTCATTCTGTCTTCCCAAAGCAAGGTGTTTGTGTTATTTGGCAGGAGAATGATATGCAGGAAAATATAGTGAGCAAGTCTTGTAAGAGTTGCTTATTCATAATGGTCTGTGGAAATCCATTGTAGATTCTTGAAGCTGTTATCTTTGGTTTAATTTCGGTCATAATGGCAGTAGCCTAATAAGCTCATTTATATCTTTGAAAGCCTATAAATGTTGTGTTCTCTCTCTCTCTCTTTCTCTCTCTCTCTTTTTTTTATATTTGACTGATTCTTTTTCCCATATAGGCAATTTTGGTATTGTTAACATATAATATATTCTTGTTACTTGATCAGTGAGTGAGTGACTACAGCTTGATTTATGACATTTTCCAAATTAAAGAATTAGTGGCAAGCACCAGCATTGTGATCCAGGTGCATTTATATTAAGTTTCCATTGTTAAGGTTTTGTCAAACCTTAATCGTTGTTATCCTTTCCCTTTCTGAGTATAAATTTTGATGGACTAAAGTCAAAATAACTTACTACCAGAAAAATGCAACAGACAATGTAAAATACATTATCCAAAGTATCTTGGTGTTTTGAAACGGAATAGATAACTGATAATAGGAAGTTGTTAAATCTTTGAATTTGGTGCATTCTTAAAATGTTTTTTCAAATTGGACGTGCATAAGTTAACCAAGGGCGACTTGTGCCGCCTGAGTTTGTGGGGGGGCACCAGCAGCCAATCTCTGACCAGGGGGAGGAGTGCTGGTGGCGCTTCTCTCAGTGCCCCCACTCCCTGGCTGGCAAGGGCCAATCTCACAGGGGGAACGTTTCCCCCCCGCCCTGTACCCCTCTCTATACGTGTCGCCTATGAAAGTACCATTTTTTTCCATGCTGATCATCTTGTTGTATTTTCAGAAGCCATATTTAAGACTTCTTTTTTAAGTCATGAAATGCAATTCAACCACTTGCCATCTAAAGCGTTCCTTATTATATTTTATCAGATTATCACCTTTTCTAGATTGCAATATTCATGCTTCTAGATTTAAATATTATTGTACAACAAGGTTCCTTACTTAGTTTTCTGAAGTCAAGTGCAGTAGTTTTACCACTTAGATTAGAATTACAAGCCCATGTCATTTTAAGCTATCTCTTCACCACAGGAAGCCAGAATTAAATAAAGGATTTGGTGACAAATTTTAAAACTGAAATAAGGAAGTGTAACTTTAAAGAAAGCTAAAAACTATGAGTAACATATTTGAGAACTTTTATATTTTCAAATATCAAGAAAGAAACATTAACATTTCTCAATCATCTGTTAAAGGAAAACATTTTAAATTTTGGAGGGGCAAGAATTCTTGTGAGTGATATCTTATATTGAACCAACTTTGTCTGGTATAGACATATAACATGTACAGACATTTGTTCTCCAAGGGGAAACTCTCCTGGAAATTATTTAACTTTGGTTGTTCCCAGGTTATTTTTCTCTTGGAGTGGCCATTTTTATTTTGAAAGAAAAAGCCTGCACATCTGTACACTTGTGGCTTCTCCTGGGAGAGCAGCAACTCTCCCAGGAAAAAGTGAATGTCTGTAGGAAGCCATAAGCAAGCTTCTTTCCTCAGGCCAGATAAAGATAATACCCACAAGAATTCTTGCTTCTCACGTCTCCTGGACCATCACAGCAGCAGCACCTCAACAATACCAAAACAGTTTAATTTTTAGGCAATGTTGGTAGTGCCTTTGTTGGTAAAGCTGTTACCTAGCAATGAATAAATATCTAATTGATGTTGTGTAGAATTCTGTTCTTAGTAAAACATCTTCCTTGGTATTGAACACATTCTTCCATTAAGGGATGGTATGTTTATTTAGGCAACATGTGTGTACTGAAGATGTGTCCTGGGATGGCTCTTCATCTTTCTCTCAAAGTACACCTCATAGTGTTATGAGAAGTGCTTCACTTGGTGAATACTCCAACTCGCCTTACTCATCTGATGTTGCACCAAATGTATATCCCGTAGCCAGCTCACGCTATGATCATAATGACTCTAAATACCACAGTCGTTCCAAGATAGCTAAGGACTACATTGAACAAACGTGTCCAGTCAGACATGGGACTAGGAATATTTCTAAGGTGAGCACATTCAACACTTTAAAAAGAAATGATCTTAAGTCAGTCTTTCTCATATTTTGTTAACTTTAACACTTTATACTTGTTAATAACAATTAATAATGATTCAGTCTTGTAAAAACAGTGAACAGCATTTAAAAGGATGTTGACATCTTTGGTCTATACCTGATGTTGGCTTTAAATTTAGGTTTTGTACAGTAAGAGAACCTTGGCCAGTAGAAATCATCGCATGAAACTTCTAAGATTCAAGTAAACAGATTTTTATTTATATGCATTGTGCTGTGTAGGGCTGCCAGTTCTTGCAGTAGTTTCACAAGTACTGCAGGTTGTTTCATTAATATTGGCCAAAGAATGTATACTGCCTAAAGTGAGATCTCTGCCCAAAGTTAAACTGATGGTACAATTCTGGCTGCAGCTAACAGGGCAAATGCTAGAAGACTATAAACTACAAGTTTTAGATTGAAATTCAGTAAAAGCATCACTCAGCTTTGCCAAATGAATCTCAGTTTCCTTGTTTAGACTGCCTGTAACAAAGAGTCGAGGCAATAGAGAAGCAGCAAGTTGGCTTGAAGTAAAGAGGAGGAGCCTCTTTACTGTTTTCCTTTGCCAGTTCTAAAAAGGGGGTGAGAACAGTACAGATAAGTGGTAGGAGGATGGATGAGCATTGGGGTAAATGTGGGTGCCTACCCTTTGTAGATAGTTCACATCAGCCTAGCTAAGCTGTCCCAGAATTGGCCAGAGGTAATATACAGTAGTGGACAAAGTTAGGTCTGAGTTTCATTCAGAGCATAAGGGAAACACTGGCCAAGAGTAGTTTTTTGGGGGATGGGATGAGAAGGAAGGACTAGACACTGGGTGAAAAGAGAGCTGGGAATAGCTGCTGTCATTCAGGAAAGGAAGAGAAGGTCACCTGTCACTTGGCTCCATGTCCAGGAGTTAAGTAGAAAGAACAAGGAGGAGAAGAGGACCTATTGGAGCACCCCCCATTGAGGAGGAGGAGAAGGCAGGGCACAAAGGAGAGGGATTAGATGGGTGCCTGGGGAAGGGTGGATGCTGGAAGTTCTCCCTCTTCATCTTATCCCCTGCCCCAGCTCTTAGGATTAAAATAGAGGAGGTTTCACAACTGTGCTTCCAATTTTTGTGGGCATCTCAGGATGAATTTGCTGAAATACCTTGAGAAAAATGGGCGAGTTCTTCCGCAAGTTCAAAAACTGGGAAACTAACAAAAATGCATTGTTGAGCCATTTGTATTATCACTAATCTGTCATGCCTTTTGCAATTGGGGGTGTGGGTGAGCTTTTTAGTCCAGGCCACCATTCCTGCAATTGCATCCAATCACTTTGCGTGGACATTTGCTCTCGTGTCAAGGCCTCCTGACATTGCTTTCCATTGCATTTGGTCAGGGCTTCACCAATCTTGAAAAGTGTGTCATTTAATGTATTGCTGTATTTCCTACAGAAGAGTTCTAAAGATGATGAGCAGAAATTGGATAAAAACAAGCCTGAAGGAAATGACACATTTGACAAAATGGCAAATAGAAGATCTCTTCAAACTTCTGCATATGGCAGAAGTTCTTTGACTCAAGGTACAAATAACATATTTCCTGATTACAAATTATATAGAGTGAAAATTAAAATTCTTGGCTATTTATTAGCTCCTAGTTGAGTTTGAGTGCATGCTTCCAAATCCAGAGGTGCCAAATTCACGGATTTAGAGATGTGGAAAAATGACTTCTTCAGGTGACTCACTTTTTGAGAGAGAACTATAATTAGGGACGTACTTAATTTGTGATTTTGCAGAAACTGTGGAATCGGGCATTGTCTGTAAAATCCGCAAAATAACAAAAACTTACTAAAAAGAAAATGCTGGCTTCCCAGTGGGAGCCAGTGTTCCTCCTGGCCTCGCAGCCTGCTGGGGGAGGGGGTTGCCAATGCAAAGGGGAGCAGCCAAGATGGTGGCCACCTGCCCTGCCCCCCAGTCCTCACCACTGATTGGCTGAGAGGGCTGCCCATCGCATGGCCACACCTCTCCACCAATTAGTGGTGAAGGGTGGAGGTGCATGATGAACAGCTGACTTAGCCAATTAGCAGTGAGGGGCGTGGGGCAGACAACAGACAGCCTTCTTGGCCAGTCAGTGGCAAGGGCGGACCCCCTTGGCCAGTCAGCAGTGGGGGGCGGGCTCACCACAAAAAGGCCGTGAAATCGGCTCTGTATGTGGCCTGTGGAAATCCCTTTCACTCGCCGCAACTTAAGTAGATCCCTAACTATAATAAACTAATTTACTTACTGCAAAATAACTGGATGATATAACCTGTGTTGCAACTGTTGCAGAATTTTCTACATAAGGTATTGTTTGAGCTAAAATAGTTATCACGGTGCCTAGATTGCAGATGGGCGCAAGAAAAATGTAGATATAATTTAATGGTTTCTAAAGAAGCAGTTTGCTTTTTTGACTTTGTGTGTTTTAAACAGACAGGTGTAATAAATTTGGGAACAGGAAATCAAAACAGGTTCCAAAAAGTGAAATTGTTCCAAAACCCGCCTTTCAAGTTACCCTTTCGGATTTCCCCGAGTTGCAGAGTTTAGGAAAGGATAATGTACTGGACCTACCAAAACACAAACGTGGGCCATCAAGTCCAGTTGAAGATGATGTTACGCTCCCACGACAACCACTGAGAAAGCAGACTTCTGCATTGGGGACCACAAGGGTGAGTTGCTGATTGCATGTTAAAACCTTATATGATATTTTATAAAACAAATTATTAAAAGGAGGAAACAGGAGATTTCATAAACAAGCAACAGGTATCTATTCAAATAAATTGTAGGGAAAGAACAAGGATAGGGCAAGACAGATAGCAGTCTGCTGTAATAAAGTAGGAAATTACAGTTTAGGATTAAATTGGCGACAGAGAAATTTTCATTTCCTGGATTTTGTTGGTGGCTCTACTGACTTCTTCTTTTAAGTTGGGTGAAGAAATGCAGGCTTCCTTTTTAATTATTGTTTTACCAAATAAAGTTCCTCTTTTGTAAGTCCACTGTACTGAGTTTTTAATGGAGATTTGCTAAAAGATAAAAATATGGAAAGATAAAGAAATGGGATTGATAGAGAAGGGTAAAATTCACTTGATCCAAATGCTTGTTGCTCACTTGCTGATTGCAGCACTCAAACAAAACTTATTGTAAATGTGTCCACCATCAGGTCAGGTATTTTGGAGCTAGAAACATCAACAATACTTATACTTCGATCAGCCTTTCTGTAAGCGATACAAATAGTGTAGCGCTTCAGGTGTTCAATGAAAAAATCTTTGAAAGAAGGAATTATTTGATATTTTCATCCAGTTTCCTTTTTTGCTGTTAATTTAAACTCAAGAATAGAGTTTTAGTGGTTGCTGGGCTGCATGTCTGGTTGCTAGTAACAAACTTGAGCACAAAGTTGTCTAAAAGGACTTACAAAAAAGTTATCCTTTGGAAAACCTTCTCCTTACATATGTCAGGTAAAGAATGATTTTATGTCCCCAAATCCATTTATATTGTGTTGATAGAAATCAAGTTTTTCTGAACATAGTCTTAGTAAAGGGCTGATATTTATTTTCCAGAAATGTATTTTGCAACAAAAGCAATCAGGACTTGTGGTAGAGGTGATTTTATTTAGACCAACTAGATATTTGCAAAAAAAAAAAAAAAATTCAGTTGCAAGCTTTCGGGCACAAGCACCCTTCATCAGGCATAGGAGAAAAGATTGTAAGCATTCTCCTGGGTAGAAATGAAAGTTCATATTTCATAGAAGAGTTGAAGGTATGGTAAAATCTCCCAGGAAACGTTTACAGTCTTTTCTGCTATACCTGATGAAGGGTGTTTTTGCCCCAAAGTTTGCAGTTAAATAATTTTTTTTCTTTTTGCAAAAATCTAGTTACTCTAATAAAAGATATCACCTCTACCACAAGTCCTGATTGCTTTTGCCACTAGACCAATACAGCTACAACCTGGATACCTGACACCTTCTGCAACAAAACACCTGTGTATGATACCCACATCTTGCATACATCAGTGACCTATCCTTTCTTCTGTTCCCTCCAGCTGTTGTTTAAATTAAAAAATAAGGTAGCACCTTCTATGCATGGCATTTCTTTGATTAGTTCCCAGACAGTATTAATTCCCAGGAAATACTCTGCATTTCATCTTTGTTGCTTAAAGCAAGCCAAGCCTGTTCCAATTCATGGTTCATTAACAAAGTTGCTGAAGCCTGGGACCACTTATGATAAATTGGTAGTGGATGGGGAAGACCTGTGGACAGGAGGTACTCCCAAGGAGTAAATTGAATCTCTTTATGCTATTAGAGAGTTATAAAGAGGCATCAGCTTTTGTTTTATAATAGAATATGATACAGTGACTCTCTTCTAGAAGCTTTCTATCCTTCTTACCTTGTAGTTTTACCCAATGTATATATTTGTTAAAAAGTTGCATGATTTGAGACCCCTTCATTCTTATTTTTATGTTTAAGAATAAAAAAGCCACTCTTTTGTAGGAAGAAGCCTCAGTGCACAACAAAGCTGCAGTAAAAACCTTAACAAACAAAGAAGCTGGTTCCGTTTTCTCATCTTTTGATACTAGAAGTAAGTGCTGCAGAAGCCCCAAAATATCTACTACTTGTTGGGTTTGAGCTGTGTCTGCATCTCATTATTTGAAAGTATTGCTGAACTGTTCTCAAGAATAGAGTAAATGTGGAAGTTTGGAAAAAACCTAAAATGTGAGAACTAATTCAGTGAGACATGATAAAGCAAACATGAGATTTCTCATTCCTGGTAGTGTTTGTGTGCCTTTGAGGTGTTCCATAATTTGAAGTATTTTTCAATTGCTATGTTAATGGTTTTTGAATTAAGGCCAACTACTTCTGGATCCTGTGCAGAGGATTTCTTAGTATAACCAACTTCTATAGATTTCCAGCTTTTATTTAAAAAAAAAAAATTCAATGTAAATCTTCAAGTGTAAAATGGCACAAGGAAAAAATATAAAACACAATTTTATTGCATTTTTCTTGTCTTCAAGCTTAATATGTAAACTTACCATGAGGTTTGGGGTACATTGCATATTACCTGTATGATCCATTTTTAGCAATTATAAAACTGCATCATTTTGTAACGCAGCAGAATTATCTGCTCTCTCAACTGAGGTAACCACAAGATTCTTATACATTTTAGTAGCTGTTTTAATCAAGATGACTGTCTAGATTTTTCTTTGGTATCATAGATATTTAGAAAGTGCTATTGAAGTACTTATTGGAGTACTTACTGGAGACCAGCCTGTCTCTCACCCACTGACCCCTGAATTTACATCTTCACTGATGTCCTGTTTTACTTGCATATCAGCCCAGCCCCTGGCGTTTTTACTATTCATTCTATTAAGGAAGAGCACACCAACTACAGAAGCTTCCTCAGCCTGACGAAGGGTTTTTAAATCCGAAAGCTTGCTAATTTTTTTTTCCCCAACTATTTAAGTTGGTCAAATAAAAGGTGTCATATTCAACTAAAGAACCTTGTCTATCATTGGAGTACTTATGCTCTTTTTGAGAGATGCTTGTTTAGGTGTTAATGAATTTGAAGTCTTTTCTTTAATTTCTGATGTTAAGTGCCTCTGTCAGCTTAAGGGGTGTACTTGGTAGCCATGTTAGTCTGAGACAAGAAGACATACAAACAACTAGAACTCTTGGTTCCAAAATGATACCTTTCATTTGACCAACCAGGAAATTGCGAGAAAATTGTCCTTTTCTGCAAGTTTTCAGGATCAAAAGCTTCGTCAGGCTCTGGGAAAAGTATAGCTGGTACAAGATGGTAAAAAGTCCTCATAGGTAGGAAATAAACTTCATTTTTGCACAGAGGGAGCTGAAGATGGAAGGCTGTCCCTCTGGGTCCATGAGAGTGTCTTTGTGAGGTGTGCTAAGTAGCTCTTTGATGTTTAGATCTGGTAGAAGTCCTTCCCTGGAGGTGTCAGATGGCAGGCAGGGAGGTAAAAAATCTTGTGATTTCCCGGTTGGTCTAAGAAAAGGTATCATTTTGGAACCAGGAGTTCTGGTTTTTTGTGTGTCTCAGACCAACACGGCTACCATGTACACCCCTGAAACATGGGAGATGCTGAATTTTAGCCTATTTTGGATTTTAAACTTCATTGCAGAACAACAAGACTTTTTTACCTCCCTGCCTGCCATCTGACACCTCCAGGGAAGGAATTCTACCTGATCTGCACATCAAAGAGCTACTCAGCACAGCTCACAAAGACACTTTCATGGACTCAGAGGGACAGCCTTCCATCTTCAGCTCCCTCTGTGCAAAAATGAAGTTTATTTCCTACGTATGGGGACTTCTTACCATCTTACACCATCTATACTTTTCCCAGAGCCTGACAAAGGGGCTTTGATCCCGAAAGCTTGCTATTTCCTGGTTGGTCTAATAAAAGGTATCATTTTGGAACCAAGAGTTCTAGTTTTTTGTATGTCTCCATCAACTTAAGTAGTTTTTATGTATATTCAGTAGAAAATTTGAAGTTCACAAAGCATTTGCTCTGTGTTGATATACAAACTTTTTTGAGTAGCTGACAGTATAGTAAAGAGCTGTCTTTTTTCAGTGGTCACTATAAGTCCTTCCAGATGTGCAAGTATGTTTTATATTGCTCTGCAGATAAAACGGGTGCAGTTCAGGCTCCATTGTCTGTTTGTGCAATGCAGATCAGTATCTTTAGGGGGCATATGGGAAGACTTCTCTGTTTGAGTCTCTCCCTGAATCACTGGAAATGCTCTGAACTAGTGTTCCTTGCTGGCAGAAGGCCAGCAAAGGCCACCTCTTTCCCAACAGTGTCAGGAAAGGAATACTCTTACAGCATGGTCTGAGAGCCTAATGGGGCACTTGATAAAACAACAAAGAAGAATTGGTGGAGTGTATTGGCTAGCAATATCTTTCTTTCCTGTGTCCTTGTGACAATGTTTTAGGAGAATTCACAGATCTGTTGGAATCTGACAGGGCCACACTGTGAACGTTTCTGCTCTGGCCACGATCTTGTGATCTCTGGGCTGCCAACCCTGTGCCTGAGCACCTGTACCACTCTAGCCCCCAGAGTGAAAGTAGGGGAGAGACAACTTCCTTGCCTTGGATGGTCTCATTTGGACCCAATTTTTGCTATTGGAATAAAGCGCTCATTTGTTTGGTTAGTAGCAAAAAATAAGTTGAAATGGCTGTTGAACCACATGTGCATTTCTACAACAACAAACACCACTTTTCATTCCCTTACTTCCTGATTAATCTTTTGGATATTAGTCTTCTGGTCACTTCTCCACTTTAATCAAGTCAAATTACCTATGAACGGAGCATTTTGACTTTTCTCTGTATTGTTTCAGAAAAGTAAAAATACTTGCTAAAAGGTGAATTAGTGTAAAACAATGAATTTCAATTAATCTCAGAGCCAGTGAGAAAATAAAGATAATTGTGTAGCATTTCTTGCTGAATTACGGAGCAGGGGGATTTTTTTTTCTTCAAATAGCATCTTTTAATTAAAAGAAGTGGTTCAACTTGTTGACAGACTCTTTAGCAGTTTGTTGGCAGATGTTCTTTTGAAGAAACTGAAAACCACCAGGATATAATTTTCCATTTCTAATTGGGATATAAAATGTTACCTCCCAACCTCCTTCACTTCTGTCAATCTCAATACAAACTTGAGTACAGGAACTGGTTGCATTGACGGATAAGCTTCTGACAACTGCGCTAGTATTGGAGATGTTGATCTCTTGACTATGGGCCCCTTGCAGGAGTAGCTGGGATTTGAATGTGTCAGTGTTGTCAATAGGAGGGCTGCTAAAGAGGTATGACCTGAGATCCTTGTAGTATGATACTGCTTGGGTCTGTCTGGTCACCAAAACCTGCCAGAGCTGTCCAGACATGTGGCTCAATGCCTTAATATGACTGTGACTAGGCATCAGTAAAACCTACCTGTTTTCATTTGCGCTAGATAACTCATAGTGTTGGTAAGTTGGCAGAAGGATGATGTTGGCATGCCGTGCTTGCTGAGGGTTCCTTCAATTTTTTGGATTCTCTTTCATCTCTGACTCTTGGGCCACGCTGTAAAATTATTCCTTTATCAAGGCTGCTGGAAAGAAAGAGGTGATTTGAAGTGATATTGGATAGGGTGATGCTGGCATTTGTGATTTGTCACTTCTGCTTTGTTTTCTGGCTTTGAGGATGTACTTGTTGAAAAAAAACAGTATAAATACTTATAGCTAGAGCCAACGAAGTCTTGGGTGGAATTGAGGTGCCCAAATTCAAAATCATGCTCCAAAAAGGGCTTTGGTAGTGCCTTATGACTTTGCAGTGGTCTGCCCTCAGTGGGCACCAACCATCCAGATGGTTCAAGCCTATGGTTAATAGAACCACAGAGTCCTGAGTTCAGGTCCCTATTCCATGAATCTGTTTAATGTAAAACAGCCATTGGATAAAATACAGAAGTTGGACCCTAGGACTCCCTTTTCTCAGGTATGTGCCCTTACTGTTAGTTATGTTAGTCCTGAGTAAGAGAGAGCTATAGACAGGCGCTGAGTCAGGTACTGAAGCTCCACTGAGCACATGTGATGTAAGATACAGACTTCTTGGCAGCAATTCCTAAGGCTTTCCACTCAGCATGTGGGTTTTGGATTCCACTTTGGCAGCTAGATGCTGAAAAGTTAAGATATAGGGGCTGCAGCACCTTAAGTATCTACATCCTTTATTGCATTCAGCCCCTAAAGCATAGGAGAGGCTAGAGCAAGGGTGGGCAAAATACAGCCTGCAGGCTGGATCTGGCTCACCAGGTGATTTTTATTCAGCCCATGGGCAGGTGCCTACCAATTCATTGCATTAGGCCCCAGCCCTGTGCTGCCCCTGTTGTGCTCACATGGGGCTGAGCCCCACCCACTCCTGCAGGGCAGCTCACATTGCACTCCCACCCCTAATCCCAGCCACGCAATTAGGGAAGCAGTAGTGGCAGGCAGGGGAAGGGCAGCGGTGAAGGTTGGGGAGCAGCAGTAGGCAGGCAGCAGGGAAGGTAGGGGAGTGGCAGGGTAAGGAGTCTGGGAAAGTGGTGGTGGTGGGTGGGGGAGAGACACCAGTGATAGTGTGGGGAATGAAGCAGTAGTTGGGTGGGAGCACATAGCCCACATCAGTGCCCCGGGGCTGGGGCCAGGGCCGGCAGGGACCTAGGGCAGGGCAGCAGCAGCGTGGAGCCCAGGCCAGTGGGGATGCAGGGTTTGCTTGACTTCATTGTGTGGGGTTCGCATGCAGTTCCTGTGTTCTCTGCCCAAGCCTTGTGTCTCTAGGGGGAGCCCTACGCAATAAAGCTGGTGGCCCAGCCCTACTCACTGCTATGTGCAGGTCATGGAGAATGGCAGGGACCTTTGTGCTGTGGATCCTGGCCAGCTCTGCCCCTCTCCCTGCTGCCTCAGCTGAGCCCCATGATCTGCACCACTGGCTGGTGCAGAGTTCAGACATGCGAACCCAGCCACGTGCAGTCCTGGGGCTCACTGGGACCACGCAGCAGCGGGGGCTCCATGCTGTGGGCCATGAGTGCCATGAGGGTCCTTTGCCTGCTACTGCTGCTGGTGGCAGGGACTGTGTGCAGTGTGGGGGTGTGTTTGTGGGGGCGGGGGGGCTATACGCACAACCCAGTATATACACAGTCACTCACGCACACCCCCACACACTTCATAAACACCTTACCCACCCACCCACCTTCACACATCCCCACAAACACCATAACCACCCATACACACACCTGCACACAAATCAGGACAAAAATATTTTTTTTAAATAAAATTAAAATATGTTATTGTAGGTGTTTGATTTTTAGTATATAATTTGTTTTTTCCCCAAGTTCCAAGATGGCAACCCCCCCTCCGAAAAGGTATACTTGGGGCAGGAGTAGGGGCTTCGTGTGGCAAAGGTTAGGGGTTAGGGATGGGACTTGCAGTCCCAAGATGACAACCAGGTGGTGGGACACCTGACAAGGTGTGGGGCTACCCTTGCAGCCCTTAACAGCTCACCAAAACTTGTTAAGCGGCCATGCAGATGAAATAATTGCCCACCCCTGGCCTAGAGGGAGTTTCCCTGATTTCCATTCCCTCCCTTCCCCCCCACCACCATGTAATTTTCACTTGTTTTATTTGTAAAAAAACAAAACAGTGTCACAGCCCAAAGTTTACATAAGACACCCATACCCATGCATGATGAAGGACAGATGAGCCTGGTAGTTAGTTCAAAGAGCAAATTGTGATTTGTATCTAAATTTCTTAGTCAAAGTAACTTGGCAAACATAGACTTGAAGTCCTTGATTTATTTGTTATTTAGCCCTTTGTGCATTACTGAAGGCTTGTTTCTGAACCTCCTGCTTATTGAGTCATTAGGGAAGTACTTCAAATTTAACATCTTCGACCATTGCTTTTCTTTTCCAGCAGTACTTCCTCAAGCATCTGCAAGGAGCTCCACTCATTCGCATTCATCTTGGGCAACCATACCAGCACAGCCTCCAAAAAAAGTTGTTTCAACACCAGCTTCTGATGTTCTATCCAGAAGCCATTCTGACAGCAAGGAAAAACAAGATATTCGGGCAAATAGTAAGGTATTCACGGAAATATCTGCTCTAAGCCTTGATGGTCTAATGGAATCAATTTACACGTTGTAGTGGTATTTTTCTCTTGGTAGTTTCTGACAACTGCAATGTCTCTTTTCAAGGTGAAGGAAAATCAGGATGGTATTATAGGATGCATGATATATATAATGGTGTGCGCTAATTACCATGCTCCAGCCAGCCTCCGCATCTCATGTATTAGCATCCCTGTGCTTCAAAACGGTGGCGGGGTGCTCTAGCTAAACCTCATTGAGCAAGCATTTAGTTCAAGCATTCCTGCTGCCTTTTTGAAGTGCGAAGACACTAATACATGAGATGTTACAGTGCTTTAATTAGAGTGGCTCTTAGAATCATAGTTTCATAGTTTCTAGGGTTGGAAGGGACCTGAGCAGATCATCAAGTCTGACCCCCTGCCATGGCAGGAAAGAGCACTGGGGTCAAACAACCCCAGCAAGTTGTCTATCTAGCCTCCTTTTGAAGACCCCCAGGTTAGGAGCGACCACCACTTCCCTTGGAAGTTGGTTCCAGATCCTAGCCGCCTTGACAGTGAAGTAGCGCCTCCTGATGTAGTCTGAATCTACCCTTTGCCAGATTGTGACCGTTATTTCTAGTCACTCCTGGTAGTGCTTGGGGGAATAGGGACTCCCCCAGTGCCTGCTGGTCCCCTCTGACTAGTTTGTAAATGGCCAGTAGATCCCCCCTCAGCTTTCTCTTGTGGAGGCTGAACAGGTTCAGGTCTCGTAGCCTCTCCTCATAGGGTCTGCCCTGCTGCCCCCCTATCATGCGAGTGGCCCTCTTCTGGACCCTCTCCATGTTGTCCACATCCCTCCTGAAGTGTGACACCCAGAACTGGACACAGTACTCCAGCTGTGGCCTGACAAGTGCCTCATAGAGGGGGAGGATCACCTCCTTGGACCTGCTTGAGATGCATCTGCGGATGCAAGACAAGGTACAGTTGGCCTTCCTGACTGCGTCCCCACACTGCCGGTCCATGTTCATTTTGGCATCAATAATGACTCCAAGATCCTTTTCGCCTCTGCACTGACGAGAAGGGGGTTCCCCAGCCTGTAGGTATGGTGCTGGTTCTTCCTCCCCAGGTGCATCACCTTGCACTTGTCAGTGTTGAATCCCATCCTATTCTCATCTGCCCACCCCTGTAACCTGTCTCAGTCTGATTGCAGCCTATTCCTCCCTTCTAGCGTGCCCACATCCCCACACATCTTAGTGTTATCAGCAAATTTGAACAGGGTGGTTTTTACCCTCTTATCCAAGTCGCTGATGAAGATGTTGAACAGTGCGGGCCCGAGGACCGAGCCCTGCGGAACCCCACTGCCCGCGTCCCTCCAGGTCAAATAAGACCCATCCACCACCGCTCTGGGTGCAGCCCTCCAGCCAGTTGGCAACCCATTTGACTGTGTAGGTGTTGATGCCACAGTCCCCCAGTTTTTTTAATGAGAATGGGGTGAGAGACAGTGTCAAAGGCCTTCCTAAAGCCCAGAAAGACTATGTCCACTGCTACCCGTGCATCTAAGTATTTTGTGACCTGGTCATAGAAGGCCACCAGGTTGGTCTGACAGGACCTGTTTCTAATGAACCCATTTTAGTTGCCCCTAAGCATAAGCTCCCCTGCTGGCGCCTTGTGGACATGTGCCAAAATAATTCTCTCAAAAAGCTTCCCCAGGATTGAGGTAACTAACTGGCCTATAGTTTCCTGGGTCCTTCTTCCTCCCTTTTTTTAAAATGGGAACCACATTGGCCCTTTTCCAGTCCTCTGGCACCACACCAGAGCACCACGAGTGCTCATAACACCGTGCCAGGGGTCCCGCAATGACCTCAGCTAATTCCCTCAGCACTCTGGGGTGGAGATTGTCAGGATCAGCTAATTCTCTGACCTCCAGCTGATTCTGACCTCCTCTCTTCCTCACTTCTGGAACATGTGTAAAAGCGCCCTGGGAGGCAGCATACTTTAAGCAGTGCTAAGTAATTCTAGATTATTTGCATCTTTTGACTTCTTTGCTTATTTCAATATGAAAAATTCTGAGTTGTGCTTGTTTCACATTACTGACCTCAGAAGCTGAAACTGGGAAACTTAGCCTCATTTTGGCAAGTTATTATCTGCCAAGATGCATTATAGTAACTGTGTACAGCATGTTTGCAGTTATGTATTCCTGACTATGCCTTTCTAAATTGCTGTTGGGTCTTACATGAAGTTTGCTCTGTCAATTTGGTATCTCAGGATAGGTTGGTTGTTTCATCCTTTTTTGTTTGAGCTTATCATTAATGTAGGCTTACTTTTTAATCTTTTCTTTTACCTGTATTCTGATATTGGCTATTTATTAGAAGCTGATTTCATTTATTGCGGTCTGTCAACAGCCGGAAACAAGAGATAATGCTAGTGAAACTGAGCCTGAAGAAGTGTCAGGAAAGAAAAAGAAAAGGGAAAAAAAGAAACCAAAACCATCTTCTGAACTTCAAACTGAAAACATCATAGTACAAGCGCCACCAAGAATTGAGGTATAGTATGCATGCTTCACCCCAAAGCTGTATATTAGGAAATGTCCTAATGTAATTTGTAGAAATCGGGCTTTGCATTTATTCTGTATAATTTACAGGTGTATGCGTCTGCAGAGGCTTTGTGGAGACAAACTTATCCAGGCAATGCAGATGTCTCATGGAACTAAGTGTAACATTGGTGATCCACATTTAGGATTATTTTGAGGCAGCATTCTGTAAGATATGCCTGCCACCTCCATGAACACACACAATGTGTATTAAAGGGTGACAGATTCTACTGACATTTAATTTTTCTAGTCATGCCCCAAAATGTCTTGCTTGATGTTTACTCCATCTGTTACATGGTACCCACTAGTCCTTTGAGGAATGTGGTACCAGACATGATCGTCAACAAATTTGAGGCCTAATTCTTGGGGTGTTTCCCTCTGGCTTTATCTGAGACTTTCTTCATACTCTTTAGATAATGTGTAATCTCTATCAGAAATGCAGCATAAGCCCCTCTACTTGTCGATTTGAGAGGCAAGATTCTTGGGGGCCTTGTTGTTCTGGAAGATCTGAACTCCTTTCCCAACCTAGGCAGTGAGCATATGGAGGGGAGCCTGAAGGCAATCTGGATCTAAATCTTTGAAAATCAGAAAATGCAAAATTAAGATGTGGCACCCCTGCAGGGCTGGGGGAACTCAACTGGTTGTGAATGCAGAGTCTGGTTCAGTGCATGACTTGGACTTTGTAAGTAAGGAAGTATAGCCACGTTTCTGCAGCTTCCCAGGGGCTTTCTGGGGGTGCAGTTCTCCAGCATGCCCTTCTCATGTCAGACCCAGCCATTAGGGCCCAGAGCTTCCCTGCAGCCATTCTTAAGACTTCTCTCTCCAACATGCTTGCGATTGCCTTGAGAGCACTCTTCCCATCACCAGTTTCAGTCCTAGTATTGATTCATGTGGAACAGAAGTGTGTAGGTGGAGTGGGAGGGGAATTGAGAGCGGTATTCATGGGAACGTCACAGACATGGTATAGATATTCCTTGTGTTCCTCCACTAAGTCTTCACAAATCAAGTCAGCTGCCAGATGACAAGTACAGTTCTCAGCAAAGATGGGAAAGGAGATAAGTAGCCTAGAGTAGTGGAAGCAGTGGTTAGGGAATACTTTGAGAAATTAGGTGTTTTCAGATTGGGAGGGCTGGATGGGATGTGCTCTTGAGCACTGAGGGAATTGACTGAGGTAATTTCAGAACAGTAAGCTAACATCTTTGAGAACTTGTTAAGTATAGGTGAGGTCCTGGATAACCAGAAAATGTAGTGCCCACCTTTAAGAGAAGAAACAGTGTCTAGGGAATTACAGTCTGACATCAGTGTCTAGAAAGATTGTGGAGCAAGTCATCAGGGAATCTACTTTGCATCTGGAGGGGAACAGGGTGATCAGGAACAGTCAGCATGTATTCATCACCAGGAATCATTCCTGATCAATGTACTTCCTTCTGGGATGAATGACAGGCTTTGTGGATGCAGGGAGAGCTATGGATATGCTATACCTTGACTTTTAGCACAGCTTTGGTGTCTCCTATGACATTCTCATTAATAAGCTCAGGAAATACAGACAGAATGAAGTACTGTAAGGTGGATGTACAACTTGTTGCATCATTTTGCTCATTGAGTAATTTTCTGTGGCTTAGTGTTTAGTTTGGAGGGGTTGTTAAGTGGGCTTTCACTGGGCTTTGTCCTGGGTCTGTTGTTGTTTAGTATCTTCATTAATGATTTGGAGGATGCAACTTGAATACACACTTTGCACTTTTATGAGTGACACTGAATAGGATGGAGTTGTAGACACCCTGTAAAGTAGAGTTGGAATCCAGAATGACTTGGAAAAACTGGAGAAATGATCCACAGTCAGCCAGATGAAAGTGAACAAGGACAAGTACAAAGTGCACTTGGGACAAAATAATTGCATGCACAAATGCCAACTGAGAATTGACTGGTTATGTTGCAGTACTGCAGTGAAGAATCAGGGGGTTACAGTGGACCAGCAGCTGAATATGAATGAACAACGTGCTCTTTTTGCAGGGGAGGGGAAAAGAAAAGCCAACGTGATATCATGTTGTAATAACAGAGATGTCACTTGCAAATCAAGGGAACTGATTCTTCTGCTCTGTTTGCCATCAGTGAGTCCTCAGCTGGAGTGCTGTGTTCAGTTTTGGGCTCCACCCTTCAAGAAAGATGTGAGCAGATAGGAGACTATGGAGGAAAGTGACAAAAATGATTAGTGGCCTGGTGGCACAGCCACTCATCCCAATCTGCTGCTACCTCAGCTGAGCATTGGTGTGGATGTAAGTGGCCAGAACATGGTATCTGGGCTTAACCATCTACCCACTTCCTGCAATCAGAGTGGCCAACTAGGGTGAGCCGACTCTTTACCCCTTCCTTTAAAAATACTTGACCTGGAAGAGGAATTTTCCAGGCAACAAAGCCCAGTGTTGTACCCAGGTTGCCTCACCCTTGGCTGGTGCCTCTACTGGCCCTCTGAGGAGTTTTCTGGGTACCTGACCCAGTTTGCCCATGAACCCTGAGTCTGATCTGACCTTTTGGCTCTGTAACCTGACTCCGGTTTGATCTCAATACCTGATCTGGCTGGCCACCTGACCCTTCTGCCCAACTCTGCATCTCTGACTTGGTTCCCCAAATGAATTATCTGGCATCCTGCTCCCCTACAGCTAGGCTCTACGCACTCTCCTCGGATCTTGGTTGCTTCTTTTGAGCCTGGGTGGCCCTCGCATCTGGCTGCCCATTATCCAGCATGACACCTGGAAAACATGACTTCTGTGAAAAGACTGAAAGAGCTAGAATTATTTAGTCTGGAGAAAAGGGGGAGTTGATAACAAACAGTTTTCAAATACCTGAAGGTCAATTATAAGGAGGATGGAGATGGGGCTCTTTTCTGTGGCTGTAAGGGAAAGAACTGTTAGCAATGGCCTCAAACTACAGCAGGGGAAATTTTATGTTTGGAGATTAAAAGGAACCTACTCACTATGAGGCTAGTCAGTCATTGGAACAGGTTCCCCAGAAAGGTTGTGGATTTTCCATCCTTGGACAGTTTTAAGAGCAGGCTAGATGGACACTTGGCTGGGGTGTCTTAAGCTGGGTGCTGGACGAGATGATGTTGTGAGGCCCCTTTTCAGCCCTAGTTTTTTACGTTCCTATGCTGCCTGCAATACATGTATACAGTAGTAGAGGACACCAGACAGCAAGAAGCCAAAGGCTTTATATGTGAATGACTTCCAGAATGCTAGTGGGTCGGTGGGATAGTGAGAGTTTGTGTTTGGCAGAGGAGGGGAGGTAGAGGCGGAGAGAAACCTGAAACCTTTTACCTTCTTTCAATTATTAGTAAAGACCATGCAATAAAACTGTCAACATTTTGGGAAAGACCATATCTATGATTGTTCTTATTGCTTTTGTTAAACGAGACATAGTCTTGTGTCTTTGGTTCTATGTAAAGGAACATAGTATCGAAACCTATGCACATCTTTGACTGACTTCTCTGCAGATTCACAATTTCATAGTCAAAAAAGCTTGTGATGCTGGCCTGCTCTTGTTTCTTTTCTCCTGCGCCCAGATATGCAAAGGCAAGATGGTAAAACAGAAGCTCAGAGCGGGAAATGTGACCTTTAGGAGGGTTTAAAATACACTTAAAAGTCATTCTTCTGCTTACAGTTGCTTAGACTAGTTGGCAGTAAACCTGCACTTGAAGTGCTGGAGAGACTTCCAGGTCTGGCTGCTGTTTAAGCTATTTTTTAAAAACCTTAACTCTGGAATTGTTTGCTTCCAATTAGCAAATGGACCTCCTCACTGGCTTTTTAATCAGTGAGGTGTTAGCTATAAATGGAACTGCACTTAGCCTTGTCTGTGACCCTTTATTCAACAAAATATGGCAAGAAGTATTTCTTTATGAGATGGGGAAAGGGAAGGAAAAACATATATTTGAGCATAACAGGGACTTTGGAATTGAGTGTTCTTTTGAAATCAAGTGTTCTATTTTTTTATTTAGGATGCTGAAGAGTTCCCTGACCTGGCAGCTGCTTCTGACGAAAAAAGCAGGATGAAATCGCAACATTCATCTTGCATTGCCCCTGGTGTCATTGTGAAGCAGTGTGAAGTAAGAAATCTTGGTGATTACTTTTCTTAGCTGCCTTGAATATTCAAAGACCAAACTAAAAGAATACAAAATTTAAAAAAAAAAAAAAAAAAAAA